GCCCTGTGAAGGAGGTGCTATTGCTGCCATATTTCCCAGAGGACCTGAGACTCAGATTAATCAGCCAAGATCACACTGATAACAATTGCAGAACAAGGATAAGAATGGCAGTCTCAGTGCCTGGCCCTCCTTTGATCCTCCCCAAATGCCAGGCTGAGCTCTGGAAGCTACAATCAGACACAGGGGCCTTACCTCAGATCTCCCACCAGCTGCGCCTTTCCCCTCTGTCTGGGTCCTACAACTTCCTTGTAAGCTGCAGCGACTTCAAACTTTGGCAGTTCGCTCCAGTGTTTTATTTACAGAGTTACCAAAAGTTTCACAGCATATGCTGGTTGAGCCTTATGAAGTTGATTTTCATAACCCATAATGGACAATGATTGAGAAAAGACTACTCTAAGGCTAGTTTCTTTTTTTCTACTGTTTGACAGCTTTCAAAAAGATGTACCAAGGTACATGAGCGAGAGCAGGTGCAGATGCTGGAAGGCCACCAGCCACAAGCCTGGATGAGACCTCGGGGGAGGGGGGCTCCTAGCATCTTGACCTTGGACTTGTAGCTTCCAGAATTGTGATTAATGTGTATTGTTTAAACCAATTCCTTAAAATCGGTCTCCCTCTTGATATATAGATATAGCCATGTGATATAAATATATGTGTATTATATGGATATATAGCCAGCCACATATCCTGTTGGTTTTCTTTCTCTAGAGAGCCCTTAGGAATTACCAATAGCAAATCTTCCTCAAATACCTAACTAATCCTTAATTTTGGCCACTGCCCCTTTCTCCCCCATGTCTCCTCTCTGTCCCCAAGAACACACTGTCTACATGATGTAGAAAACAAATAATCATATCTTGGCTCCTCTGCTTGTGTTTTGCTGTTGATTTATTCAGTCGTCTGCCTTCATCTACTCATTTTCCTTCTACGTTTGTCCACAGCCCGTCAAACCTAGAAACCACTCTGTGTTCCGTCTTTAACACCTTATATAAAATAAGTGCCAAGCAAAGTCCAGGATGTGTCTGTAAGTTCTTAACTTTTTGTTTTGTTTGGGGCTGCTGAGACAAGCTGTTCTGGTACCCTGGGCTGGCTTTGGACTCAATACATACTCAAGGATAACTTTGAATTCTTAGTCCTCTTGCCTCTACCTCTAAGTGCTAGGATTACAGACGTGTACCACCACACTGGTTTTTGTTTGTTTCTTTTGCTTGGACTCATCCTTTTATCCAGGGGCTTACTATATAGCCCTGGCTGACCTGGAATTCCCAGTGAAGACAAAGTCAGCCTTGAACTCAGAGAGATCTACCTACCTCTGCCTGCGATTAAATTTAGCCCAGCTAACTTGAGCTCTCCTGGTTTTTTAAGTATTCAGACTCAACTCACTTTTTCAAGCACCGTGGTCAGATGGTTCCCTGGGTGGCACACCAGCCCTCTCCACCCCACAGATGAAAGTGGACTGATGAGTTCCCACGGTCCCCAACGAAACACTGATTGTCAAGGGAGCATGGACTGAAGCACCTGGGAGGAAGTAAGAAGGGCATGTTCCTCACCATCCCTAACCTGCAGACATGGTTCACCTGCCCAGGACTAGAGGGGAATTCTGACTTCAGCCAAATTCAAGTCCTTACCCAGGACATATAGTTCCAGTAAACATTGTGTGGCAGATAGAGAGCATTAGAGCCACTGGAACTGCAGCTACAGAAGGTCACGGGCTGCCAAAAGTGTAAGAGGTCTAAAGGCAGCCTGAGCTACTGGGTAAAGTGAAATCCAGCAAGGACTGCATGAGATCCCTTCTTAAACAACAAAAGAAGCCGTAGGCACTTGAGAGTAGTCAGCTGTCATCTTCTGTTGATAGAGGAGGAGCTCGGCTTCAGAAAGACTGAGTCATTTGGCCAAGGTCACACAAACAAGTTGAACAGAAGTAGATTCTAGCCTAGTTTGTCTGAGCCCATAATCTGTGATTTAACCCTTCTATACATATAGCCCTTCTCTGGCCTCGTGGCACTACTATGCCCTTAGCATCTACCAGAGTGTTTCCTGGTGAACTTTTGTCAACTATCACGGTTCTCCCATAACCCATGAGCTAGTAAAGACTTGTTGAATATGGTTCTCAGGGCCAGGTACTCTGCAAAATGTTGGAGACATAGTACCAAATAAAACGAAGTGGCTGCCCTTCTGAAGTTTAGAATTCTAGGCTAGCAAACTGTGACAGACAGTAAACACAGCAGCCTAGATTGTGCCGGGCGGCGGTGGCGCACGCCTTTAAGCCTAGAGGCAAAGGCAGGCGGATCTCTGTCATTTCAAGGCCAACCTGGAACAACAGCTAGTTCCAGGACAAGGCTCCAAAGCTACAGAGAAACCCTGTCTCGAGAAAAACAAACAAACAAACAAACAAACAAAAAACAACCAAGATTGTTTCTGGTAGCAAAATGCTCAGGAAAAAAATAACATTATCCAGTAGGTAGGCAGAAAGGTGAAAATGGTGGCGTGAGGCTTTCCAACCAGTAACTCAAGGCATCAAAGAGAACGTCTGAGTTCAGTCACAGGGAAGGGGCAGCTCTGGGGTAAATCTACAGAGAAGTGTTCTAAAAGAATAACATGTGCAGTGTTGGAGAGATGGCTCCGTGGTTAAGAGCACTGACTGCAGGTTCAATTCCAGCCCCCACAGGGCAGTTCCAGGGGATCTGGTGCCTTCATACAAACAGACGGTACAGGCAGGCAAAAACACCAATGCACATGAAATAAAAATAAGCATTAGATTAAAAAAAAAAAAAGGAACAACATGTGCAAAGACCCTGACTCAAGAGTTCAATATGCCGCCGGTTGTGGAAAATGCCCTTAATCCCAGCACTCGGGAGGCAAAGGCGGGCAGATCTCTGTGAGTTCGAGGCCAGCCTGGTCTACAAGAGCTAGTTCCAGGACAGACACCAAAGCTACAGAGAAACCTTGTCTCAAAAAAACCTAAAAAGAGTCCAGTATGCCTTACAGGACATCCTCCAAGAAAACAAGCCTGTATAGAAGTCTAGAGAGAAACCTCACAAGTAGGCCATAATCAGGAGTTGAAACTTATTTGCAGTGAGAGGCCACCAGAGGATGGCAAGCAGAAGAGGTATCTCACTTGATTTAGAATTTTTATTTTTATGTTTCCATTTATTTATTTATGTTATTTTTGAGACAAATTTTCACTGTGTAGCACTGACTGTCCTGGAACTCACTCTGTAGGCCAGGCTGTCCCTGAACTCACAGAGATCCATCTGCCTCTGTCTCCCAAGTGCTGAAATTAAAGGTGTGCATGGTTAAAAGCCTGCTTCTTTTTTTTTCTTTTTTCTTTTTGATAGGATTTTTTTATGTAGTTCATGTTGGATCTTAACTCACAATGCTCCCACCTTAGACTCCTGAGTGCTGGGATCACAGATACATGCCACTTTACTAGATTTTATTGATAATTTTAATTTTTTAAAAGTATCTTATGTATATAAGTTTTCTGCCTACGTGTTTGTATGTATATATGTATGTATGTATGTATGCCACATGCATGTCTGATGCATGTGGAGGTCAGAGAAGAGCATCAGCTCCCCTGGGACTGGAGTTTCAGACTGTTGTGAGCCACCATGTAGATTTATCTGACTCAGACCTGGGTTCTTTGGAGACCAGCAAGTGATCTTAACTATTGAGCCCTCTCTCCAGAACCTTGATTTCTAATTTCTGGTTGGGGGGTAGTTGTTTTGTTTGTTTGGGGTTTTTGTTTGTTTGCACTTTGATTTGTTTTGAGATAAGGTCTCACTGTGTGCCCCGATTGTCCTGGAACTCTGTATGTTGACCAGGCTGGCATCAAATTCATAGAGATTCACCTTCCTCTGCCTCCCAAGTGCTGGGATTAAAGGCATGCGTCACCACACCCAATTTGGTTTGTAATTTTAAAAGGTGTCTCATGGCTGGGTGGTGGCGCCTGTACAGGCTTTTAAACCCAGCACTTGAAGGCAGAGGCAGGTGAATCTCTTTTGAGTTCAAGGCAAGCCTGGCCTACAAAGCAAGTTCCTGAACGGCCAAGGCTACACAGAGAAACCTTGTCTCAAAAAAGTGGGATGGTGGTAGCAAAGGCCTTTAATCCCAGCACTCAGGAGGCAGAAGGAGGCAGATCTCTGTTACACAGAGAAACCCTGTCTCCAAAAAAACCCAGGATAGATGATAGATAGATAGATAGATAGATAGATAGATAGATAGATAGATAGATAGATAGATAGATAGATAAAATATAAAGGTGACTAGGGAGTAGAGGCTGGACTGCAGGAGAACAGGGTGCAGGCTTGGGACTGTACGGGCCAGACAGACAACTACTAACCACAGTCCTAGCTGACCTTCAAAAGGGGTCATGGGTCATATTCTAGGTGAAAACAGACTGCAGCACAGAGAAGACAAAGGCATCCAGGAAGCCCTTGTATCCCTGCCCTCTAGCAGTTTGTGTAAAAGGTGATGGTGTAGGTTGCTGTGATGGAGAGAATGAGGAAATGGTAGAAGAGAGAGATCTGGTTTTGTATTTTGTATTCAAGCCCAGACTTTAAATAGGTGACCTGGAGCTCAGTTGGGTGGGTTTTACAAGGAAACACACACACACACACAACACACACACACACACACACACACACACACACACACACAGGTCTGGGGTTAGCCAGAGAGAATGTGGAGGAGAGAAAGCTTTGAGACCATGAGCATTGATGGACTAGGGAACGGATGAGCCAGGGGAGAAAGCTGAGCAGGAATGGTCAGTGGGAAAGCGGGGTGTCAGGATGACAGGAACTCCAGGTATGGTGAGAAAGAACACGAGGTGGTCTAAAGCCCACACTGTCAAAGACTTGCTGTGTAGCATTTCAGAGAAGCGGGATAGAACTCAACACATGAGTTCAACGAGGGTGGGGGGGATAGATATTTTCTTTTTTGACTCTCCTTCCACAGGAAGAAAACAGGCCTGCTTTTCCGGGAGTAGAGAGGGAGAAGTGTCATGCAAAAGAGACAAGGTGACATGCAGGGTGACAACATCAGGCTGTGAAAGGGAGTAGGGGGCCAGGGAAATGATGAGGCCAGGAGAGACTGGACAGAGTTGCAGGGAAGCAGTTTGGGATGGGCAGGCTTGGTGGTTCTCTACATTTATTCCCTTTGTTAAAATATACAAAGCTGTTCAGCTTCAAAATTCAGACAAAAAAAAAATACAAAACAGGCCAAGGGGTGGTGGTGCATGCCTTTAATCCCAGCACTTGGGAGGCAGAAGCAGGCGAATCTCTGTGAGTTCGAGGCCAGCCTGGTCTACAACAGCTAGTTCCAGGACAGGCTCCAAAGCTACAGAGAAACTGTCTTGAGAAAAAAAAAAGACACAGAACAGTTGCTGGTTTTAAGGGACTGAAGAGATGGCTCAGTGGGTAAGGGCATTGACTGCTTTCCCAGATGACTGAGGTTCAATTCCCAGCACGGCAGCTCAAAACTGTCTATAACTCCAGTTCCAGGGAATCTGACACCTTCATACCAAATACACATAAAATAAAGCTAAATAAATACTTCTAAAAATAATAATTACTAGATGGGGATTATGAAGCACACACTCATCACAGGTAAGTGTGCTTACCTGTGCTCCTCTGATGCTATGCAGGGGTGCTGGAGACACAATGGTCACATCACAGAGGGAGCTGAGCTTAAGGGGAGGAAACCTCAGAGACCTCAGACCACTGTCCCTAACTGCTAGAGTGACAGCCCTCTGGTTCCTCTCAGTCTTTGTCCTGCCTTTCCCAGAAGACTGTTGACCTGAGAAGGCTGAACAAGAACAGAGTTCCGTGCCGCCTAACAATGTCCCGGGAAGGGCAGAAGGGAACTGAGCTATGTCTATTGTGGTGAAACCTTTTAGCTGTAATTACTTAGCCTTTTCATTAAGTATACTTGTCCATGAGTTTATGGTCTAGAGAAGCCTGAACCATCTGGGTCTCTTACATGGAAATTCATACGTGAATCACCCATGTGCCAAAAGTCTTAACGAAAACAGGTAAGAAAAAGTGTTACCTATAAACTTTATTATTATTAATAAGTATTTTTTATATAACTATTATAAAAAAAACCCCTCAGTGGGTGGAGGGAGGGCTCAGCCCTCAAGAGCATGTGATGCCATTTGCAGAGAACCTGAGTGCAGTTCCTAGTACCCAGAGTAGGCAGCTCACACCACCTACAGCTCCAGTTCTAGGTGGATCCCAGCACCCTCTTCTGGCATCCACGGGTACTGCACTTACATAAGGACAGATACAGACACACATTGGGGCTGGAGAGATGGCTCAGCTGCTAAAGGCCAAAAAAAAAACGAGTGAAAGAATAATACTAATGAATTAACTATTCAATTAATTAAAAAAGTTAAACCCCACTAAGCTGGGAGATATCTCTGAAATGAAAGAGACTGGAGAATCTTGTGGCCTCTGGGGCATAGAAATCACTTGGCTACAGTTTCTTTTTTTGTGTCCTGAGTATGTAGGACAATAATTGAGCTCAGGTGACAAGGCATCTGAATCCTTTCTTCTGATAGTCTAGGATCAATCAGAAAAGATACACAAGAGGGCTGGATGCAGGCACTTTTGAGCCTGAGCTGGCCTGTTTTCCAATAACTCCAAACTCACCTAACTTACTCTGTGTTAACAAGATCTTGTCTCACTAAGACCTACGAGTCCAAGTATATTTAAAAGTCTTTGATCTTAAAAGACAAGTAAAGTATCAATTTGACATAGACTTTAGCATCACATCAATTTCAGCTATATTTATTTCTCTGGTCTTTTGGGACAGGGTTTCAGATACCCCAAGCTGGCTTTAAACTCAGTACACAACCAAGGACACATTGAACCCTGCTCCTTCTGACTCCACCTCTCAAGTGCTAGGATTACAGGCATGTACCACCGTGTCTGCTGACCTCAGCTATTTCAATAGTTTGACTTGTTGTGTTTTGTTTTTTGTTTTGTTTTGTTTTTCTTCTGAGACAAGGTTTGTCTATGTAGCCCTGGCTGTCCTGGAAGTCACTTTGTAGACCAGCCTGGCCTCGAACTCAGAGATCTGCCTGCCTCTGCTTCTTTAGTGTTGGAATTAAAGGCATGTACCGTCACCACTACTGCCACCCCACCACCACCACCCCACTCCTGGCTAGTAGTTTGACTTTTTGTTGTAAACCAATTTTTTTTTTTGAGACAGGCTTTTCCTGTGTGACAGCCCCAGTTATCCTAGAATTCTCTTTATAGACCAGGCTGACCTTGAACTCACAGAGATCCACCTGCCTCTGCCTCCCCAAGTGCTGGGATTAAAGGGGTGCACCACCACCCGGCTTTGACTCTTTTTTAAATGCATACAGTACAATGACCATCTGTTTGCTAGTACAAACTGGTCATGTTAACAATGTTTCAGTTAGCTCTTATCATTCTGAGCAGGGGAAACTTTGAGAAAGTTGAAACTCCAAACAAATGTATGAAGAAAGGCATCAAATGTCATCACAGGACAGGAGACTGTCTTTCTCTTGGTGGGAAACAAGGCTGTGTGTGTGTTCTGTCAGGTTCCCAGATCAGGGCCTACTAGTGTAAGTCAGCAGTAATCTTAGAGTCAGGGAGGATGGAGCTGTCGCTGGACACCCCGACTTCCCGCTGCAGGAAACACATCCCAGAGCAGCAATGTGGTGTTCCATCAGGCGGTGCTTCAACACCTCTATGGCCATCGTACTGCTGTGGCTCTTCATCACCCTGAAAGTGCCCGAGGAAATAGAAGACGTCCAAAACGTGGTGACTATTCTTTGGGGAACTGGGCATGCACAGTGGGAAGGCTGCCTAAGGAACCTGGCCTTTGCTTCTAACCCCCTCTCCACCTGGGAGCCGGGTGTGGATCTACCCATTATTCCATGAATTAGCTACATTTATGTGTCATGTTTCTCAAGGTAAAGGAGAAAACAAATACTGCCAGAGCCATGACTCTTGTCCCGTGGCAGGCACTGTGTTGAACTTGCTCTGAAAGACTGAGTTATCTCACCTCTGCCCCTGAAATGGCATATGGGAGGCTAGGAGAAATATTTTGTTGTTTTGTTTTGTTTTGTTTTTCGGGACAGGGTTTCTCTGTAGCTTTGGAGCCTGTCCTGGAACTCGCTCTTGTAGACCAGGTTGGCCTTGAACTCACAGAGATCCACCTGCCTCTGCCTCCTGAGTGCTGGTATTAAAGGCGTGCGCCCCCACCACTCCAGTCTAGCAGAAATATTTTGATTGATATATATGTCAATGGTCCAGGTGATGAGGCATGGCGGTAAGAAGCAGCCCAAATCCCTAGAAGACTGGCAGACCATCACCTCCAAATATTTGGAAAAAATCCACCAGAGAAGAAAGAGTGAGTACCAGGGAGAGGGAGCTGGAGTGTCTCAGGGAGGGGAGGATCCTACGAGGAAAGATGACTAGGAAAGAAGAGAACGGGAGGAGGAAAGGCAGAACTCTGTTCAGGAACACTTGAACATCGACAAATCAGGGTATGAGGAAGAAAGAACAGATCAAGGTAGTGTTTCAATGGGTGGAATCAGGGGGTGGAAGGATAGTTCAATGGTTAGGAACACTTGCTTTTCATGGTTAGGAGCACTTGCTTTTCTTCCAGAGGACCTGAGAGTACTTGCTTTTCTTCCAGAGGACCTGAGTTCAGTTCCCAGCATCACACACACACACACACACACACACACACACACACACACGTGCACGCGCACACACACGTGCACGCGCACACACGCGCGCACGTGCATTCGCCTGTAGGCAGACTTTTCTGTGTTCCACCAGTCAGCTCTGTCCTGCTACCTAGCTCCTGAATAAAATAATCACACACCACACAGAAACTTAATATCAATTATAAATGCTTGACCAATAGCTTAGGCTTATTACTAACTAGCTCTTTCAAATTAAATTAACCCATATTTCTTATCTACACTCTAACATGTGGCAGTACCTTTCTTCAGCACAGCATCTTGTTTCTCTGTGTGTCTCCTGGTGACCCCTGCCCTCTTCTACCCAGTGTTGTCTTTCTGTCCACAAGTCTCACCCAACCTTTTCCTGCCTAGCTATTGACCAATCAGCTCTTTATTAGCCAATGAGAGTAACACATATTCACAGTGTACAAAAGGATTGTTCCACAGCACACACCACACACACATACACACACATATTCACATGCATATATATATACATATATATGTGTGTGTGTATATATGTATATATACATATATATATAAAATACTTAAAGTAGGTAGGTGGATACAATATGTTGACTACATATTACAAAACATTTCTGACCATTACATTGTTTATAGACTCATCTGCAATATCATACATGTTTACATTGGGTAAACAAGGAGCATAACTCCATTGTGTAACCTACTATTTCAATCTGCAATTGATCATGCCCTAGGAATGGATGGTTATGTGGCTTTTGGTGGTGGTGAGGAGCTGGAGGATAGATGATCATGTGGTTTTTTTGTTTATTGATTCTGAAAGAGTCTCACCATGTAGACCAGGTTGAGTTCATAGAGAACTTCCCACCTCTGCCTCTTGAGTGCTGGGATTGAAGGCATGCGCCATTGTATCATGCTCTTTATTTTTAATTAATTGAAGGCATGTGTCTCTGTCTATGGCTATGTGTACATGTATGCAAGTACAAGAGGCCAGAAGAGGGCATCAGACCCTGGAGCTGCAGCTACAGGCAGTTTGTAAGCCTACCAGATGGGTGCTCCTCTGTCAGAGCAGTAGGAACTCTTAACCACTGTGCCATCTGCAGACTTTATGTGACCTTTTTTGGAGGGGCATGATGCCAACCATTGTTTTTTGTTTGCTTATGTGTGTTTAGTATATGTATGTATGTATGTGTGTGTGTGTGTGGTGTGTGTGTGTGTGTGTGTGTGTGTGTGTGTGTGTGTGTATGTGTGTATGTGTGGTACAGGTATGGATCCCTAGGAGCTGGAGTTTCAGGTAGATATGACCTGCCTGATCTGGGTGCTAAAAACAGAATTCTGCAACAGCATCAAGCTTTCTTAAGCCATCTCTACAACACCACCAGTCTTTTTTTTTTTTAATAAGGAATCTCCCTTTGCAGCCTAGGCTGGCCTCCACCTCACTATGTATCTCAAGCTGGCTTTGAACTTGAGATCTTCCTGCCTCAGTGTCCTGGGTGCTGGTATGACACATATGTACCACTATGCCCAGAAACTGTGAGGCTTTATAGCATTTAAATAAGAGGGAAGAGAGATTAGTTAAAATATTTAAAACAAGAGTTGTGGCTAAGATTGTCTACATTCTTAGGTAGAGGAATTCAATGATTAAGTAAAATATGTAAGAATGAAAAGAAGCCAGGCAGTGGTGGCTCATGCCTTTAATCCCAGTACTCAGTAGGTAGAACCAGGCAGAGGCAGGTAAATCTCTAAGTTCAAGGCCAGCCTGGTCTACAGAGTTAGTTCCAGGACTACAGAGAGGAATCTGTCTCAAAAAAGAAACAAACAAAAAATATCAAAAAAATGAAAAGATAAAATCACTGGTGGGAAAAAATGAAGTTTGTTGTTGTTAGGAAGACCAATCACTGGACTAAAGAACATTTGAGACATGAGGGGCTTAGAACAGAGAGCCCAATCCTTTGGCTTCATGGGTTCTAGGACTAAACTCGGGGCTGAAAGGACTTAGCTAACACCACAGTCAGAGGTGGCAGACCTGGGGTAAGAATCCTGGGCTCCAGGCCCCTGGACTGGGAAACTGAACAGCTGAGTGCTTTCGCAGACTGCGTATCTCAGCCACAAAAAAGTTACCCTTTTGCATGTGGCTCTAGCTTGTGTTGTGTTGACAAAAAATAACCAAGACAGTGTTTATGAAATCTGTCACTCAGTCCCTAGCACCTGGAAAGCAGAACAAAACAAGAGTGGGCTCCTGGCTTTTAGAGAAAGCTCCCTGCTTCATATACCTTCATTAAAGGGCCGTTTGGAAAGATGATTTGGACAAAAGGATAAAGCAGAAAGAATTATAGTATAACCATAACAAAAAGCTAATATTTATCAAGTTCTTCAGTCACAAGCTTCAAGTTTTAAAGAAGACTCAGAAAAAGGTTGGACATGCCAACACACTTGCACCCTCAGCACTTAGGAGGATGAGGCAGGAGGACAGCTGCAGGCTGGAGGTCATCTGAGGCAACACAGGGACTTCCAGGCCAGCAGAGCACACACAGAAAGATCTTGTCTTTATTTTTTTCTTTTTTGAGACAAGCTTTCTTTGTGTAGCCCTGTCTGTCCTGGAACTCACTCTGTAGCCCAGGCTGGCCTCAAATTCAGAGACCCACCAGCCTCTGCCTCCGGAATACTGGGATTAAAGGCTTGCGCCACCACACCTAGCTAAGACCTTGTTTTAGAAAAGAATATTCGGAAGGCTCCAGCGGTCTTAGCTTAGTATTCCCTCAGCCCTGAAGTGTATACAAGTGATCCAGTTGGAACAGACTCTGCATGCCTAGCAAATTTGCAGATGAGACTAAAATTTCGGGACTAATGACCAGACTTAGGAGGACCAAGCTGGTGACTCACAGCCATTTGTGATGGGATCTGGTGCACAGGCATACATGCAGGCAGAACACTGTATACATAATACATTTTGGGGGGCGGGGTTTGAGCAGGATTTCTCTGTGTAGCTCTGGTTGCCCTGGAACTCTCTCTGTAGACCAGGCTTGAACCCTACCTTCCAAGTGCTAGGACTAAAGGCACGCGCCACTACTGCCTGGCTATAAATAAATCTTTAAAAAGTAAAAGTAGCAAGAATGGGGGCTGCAGAAATGGTTCAGCAGTTAAGAGCACTGACTGCTCCTTCAGAAGACCCAGATTCACATGGCAACTCACAACTGTCTGTAACTCTAGTTCCAGGGGATCTGATATCCTCACACAGACATACATGCAGGCAAAACACCAATGCACTTAAAACAAATAAATCTTTTAAAAAGTTTTTTTTTAAAAAAAAAAGTAGCAAGAATGTACATTCTCTCTGCCAAGCTAAAAAATAAACATCCCAGACAGCGTTCTCAAATCTTTTTTTTTTAATTATTTATTTATTTATTTATCATGTATACAATATTCTGTCTGTGTGTCTGCCTGCAGGCCAGAAGAGGGCATCAGATCTTATTTCAGATGGTTGTGAGCCACCATGTGGTTGCTGGGAATTGAACTCAGGACCTTTGGAAGAGCAGGCAGTGCTCTTAACCGCTGAGCCATCTCTCCAGCCCGCGTTCTCAAATCTTTAAGATTTATTATGTGTGTATGGGTGGATGTACATGGAAGTCAAAAGAGGGTGTTGGATCCTGGGGCTGAAGTTATAAGCTGTTGTGAGTCTCCTAATATGGGTGCAGAGAACCAATTGGATCCTCAGCATGAGCAGAGGATGAGCCACTTCTCCAGCCCAATTCCCTAATACTTTAAGTTTATTTTATTTTATTTTAATTGAGACAGGATCTCACTGTACTATGTCACTTATACTGAATTCCTGGTCCTCCTGCCTAGGCTTCACTAGTACTAGAGGTAGATTACAGACATGCCTCACCATGCCTTGTTTCTCTAGTCCGTACGCTCGTTCTCACCACCCCACCACATGTTGACAGTTGTCCCTATTTTACCTCTTCTTAGCATGGCTGACGGTGGGGATCACCTCAGTGTCACGACAGGGTCAAAGTGGCCTCTTGGATACACTGGCCTCCCTGTACCACGCCTCCTCCATAGCTGAGCAGAAACGGATAACGGTGCTGGTTCACCTGGCAGATTCTGACTCTACCTGGCTCAGAAAAACTGTTCTCCATATTTCAAGCCTCTACAGCTCACAGATCTTGACAGGGCAATTGCTATTGATCCATGCCCCATCCGATGCCTACTTCACTGTGAATAACAACCAGAGTGAGCTCTCTCAGGGGCAGATGTACTCCAAGCAGAATGTAGATCATGCCTTCCTCATGAGCTTTGCCACAAAGCTCTCTACTTATTTCCTGTTGATAGAGGACGATGTCTTTTGTGCCCCCAATTTTGTCACCCACATTCACTCAAAGGTGATCAACAGGAAGCCCCACACATGGGTGCTCCTGGAGTTCTCTAATATGGGCTTTCTTGGCAAACTTTTCCACAACAGGGACCTTCCTCTCCTGGCCCGTTTCCTCCTCCTCTTCCACAAGGAGCGGCCACTCGACTGGCTGATCCCTCACTTCCGTATCCTCCTGGATCAGCAAAACCCAATCTTCTGCAGACCTTTCCTCTTCTACCACAGGTTGGCTCACTTCACTTTTGAGAACAAGACCTTAACAGCCCAGGAGAAAAATCCCCATGGTCCTGATGTCCTCCCCGGAGCTGTTTTCACGGACATGAGGCACTCTGCTGTTCATTCCCCCCAGGAGGCCTACACTATGGATGAGTCCTTCTTTTGGACCTACAATGTCACTACAGGGAATTATTGGATAGTGATTTTGAATCATCCAGCGAACCTGCACAGAGTGCAAGTAAGAACAGGCTCCATCATGGATGGAAAGCACATCCTCGAAAAAGGACAGGTAGAGCTAGGCTACAAGCCTGACGGTGAGCCCCCCAACTGTACCCACTTTATCCTGTTGGGCCGTCTTGTGCAAGGGCAGATGGATCAGATTGTTCTGAAAAGCGTTGGGTACCAAGTGAGCTGCGTGAAGCTGGCGGTAAATGCCAAACAGGCCGGTGGTCTCATGATCAGGCATATCTACCTCTGGGAGGGCGATGGTCGTCTGGAGAAGACGACCAGAGCTATGGTATATGAGAGTATGAATGATTAAAAGCTTGAAGCCATTTCACTCTGGCCAATATGAATGACTTTGGAGAATCCAAGGGAATAGTAGGCAGGGAAAAAAGGAATAGGAAACATTCTTCCTTTTTTAATTCAAACAAGCCACTCAGGTAGAATTTTGTTGTTGTTGTTTTACTCTGACAAACGTAACTTCGTAACTTCGTCAAATTTGGGGAAAAGCCTTGGTCCCTCTCAGAATCCTGACATTCCTGGGATGCTTGGATCTTCCCCAGCAGTGTAAGCTGTATATACACACTTCATCTTCACAGAGGTGGGAGTGGGGAGTAATGTAGTAAGAGCGTGAGTGTGGAAAGCACATCCAACTTTGTTCTAGTGCTGGAGACTGAACCTGGTGCCTCCAGCGTGCTAAGCACATACTCTGCCATTGAGTCATCCCTAGCCCCTAAGGAGTCCTTGGGACTGACATAAGAAACAGCAAGATGGCTCAGTGAGTAGACGTTCTTGCTGTACAAGTTTGGTGACCTGAATTCTATGCTGGAAACCACAAACTCCAGACTCTGCACACACTATCAAGTTCATGACTCTTAATAACAATAATAGTAATAATTAGAAATCAAGAAAGATTCTTTACAATGTTTTTCATTCTTTCTCTCATTTTCCTTTTTGTTTTGCTTTTTAGTTTTTGAGACAGGTTTCTGATGTGGGATTCCCTTTTGTATGCTATGAATTTATTTTATTACTATTGATTAATAAAGAAGTTGCTTTGGCCTATGGCAGGGCAGAATATAGCAAGGCAGGAAATCCAAGCAGAGCTAAAGGAGGAAAGAAGGTGGAGTCAGGCAGATGCCATGTAGCTGCTGAAGGAGAAAGACACCAGAACCTTACCAGTAAGCCACAGCCTTGTGACGATACACAGATAAATAGAAATGGGTTAATTTAAGATGTAAGAGTTAGCTAAAAATACATCTGAGCCATCGGGCAAACAGTGTTTAATTAATATAGTTTCTGTGTCTAGGTGGCTGGGAAACGAAAAATGGTCTCCATTTACAGGTTTGTCTGTGTAGCTTTGACTGTCTTGAAACTCACTCTGTAGACTAGGCTAACCTTAGGTTCAGAGATCCATCTGTCTCTGCCTCCTGAGTGCTGGGATTAAAGGCGTGCACCATCACCACTGCCTGGCTTTCTTTCCCTTTTTGGACAAAGTCTCACTATGTAGCTCAGAAAGGCCTCAAACTTGAAATCTCCTGCCTCCACCTCCTGGGTGCTGGGATTATAGAAGTGTGCCACCATACCAACGCTGATAAATATGTATGTATGTATATTGCCATATATATCAGTAGATGCTAGCTAGCTAGATGATAGATAGAAGATAGATAGATAGATAGATAGATAGATAGATAGATAGATAGATAGA